GGGTTTAGGGTTTAGGGAGGGCTTTAATAAAGGGGCTTCAAAAAATAATTACCTATATATATTTTTTTTGGGGGAGGGTCCTTATTATTATAGATATAGTATGATATACCCCGAAACCCTATTCTAATTGATAAGGCCCCTACATTACAAGGGTCGAGACGTTTAGGGTTAAGTGGCTGCTGAACGGCTTCTCAACGGATGTTTTCAGCCTAATGTAGGGGCCCTAATACTTACCTATACTATTTCGGGGGTTCCTTTAAAATAATTATAGTATAATGGCCCCCAAAACCCTATTATAGTTATTAAGGCCCCTAAATTACTCCCTTCATCCTAGACCCTAAACCCTTGGCTATTTAGGACTTGTGAGTTCTTGCAGGGTGTTCTGTGATGGTATAGGGGCTTTACAAGTTGTATAGCTGCGCGATAAAGGGTTCCAGAAGGGGCTGTGGGGGTTTATGGGTGAGGGAGCTTTCAGACCATATGAGCTTACCCTGAACCCTAAACCTACTACTTGCCTGCCCAAACCGGGCTTTGGAGCTCATGCGACGAAAAAGGCCCTTAAAAAGAAAAAAAAACTTACTACTTGGCTACTATGGGTTAGGACTCTGAACCCTCAACGCTAAACCTAAAGGGTTTCGGCTCAGGAGTCTGGAATCTAAGAATTCAGAGAAGTTGAGGCTGGCGAGGGCTTTGGGTCAATTTCGGTCCGCCCCCATAATCCTTAAACCCCTGAGTTTGGGGTTTAGGGTTTAGGGCTTACATGTAGATCCCGAAGCCAACCCCTAAACCCTACACCCCGCCTCAAGACTGACTCCTACCCCTCAGAAGCTCCACCACAGATCAAAGCCGATAGCTTACAGAAACATACTGCGCAATCCTTGATTTAGAAGCTCGACCCCTCTGGGGTTTCAGTGTTTAGACCCCAGGCGTATGGGGTGTAGGGTTTAGGGTTTTTAAGGCTTGTTGGATATGTGCAGAGTGTGTACGATGGTGTTTTCAGAAGGTTCGGCGCCCGTCATCATGTTCGACGACTATCTGGACGCTGCAAGGACAGCTCTCCAGTGTCAAGTGGTTGGAAGATCCTCGCAAGTGATGCGTGCAGTTCCTCTCTGGGGCCGGAATATCTTACCTCGGAACCCAAAAACCATAAACCGAAAATTTCTGTAGTGAAGACACCGCAGCTACCAACCATCCCATCGTGTTTGGGTTGCGGGTTTTGGTGGGTTTGAGGAGTTAGTGCGTTTCGGTTTCGGGCTTTGTGCTTCTACGGTGTTCATTCAAGAAAGCTGTGCTTAGGGGTCTAGCTATAGTCTCCATGGTAGTTCCTTTTTTGTTTAACCAATTACATATTTGGGATCCTATAAGGTAACCCCCAAAAAGGAAGTACAATTGGACTATAGGTGGGTAG